ACTATACGTCACACCAAAGGAACTACATGGGCCAAAAGCCAGTCCATGTCAATAAATCTCTACTCCTAGGACAAATATACTGTGAGTCAGATATTTGCAGAGACATGGCAAAGATAGCAGCCCAGAGTGGACACCCTGGAACTGAATGCCACCACCTTCGAAGAACTATCTCCGCACAACGCTACATTCCTCCACAAACACTAAACTCTGCATCTTTGGAGCAAATGTTAGACAAAGGCAAGGCAAGGCAAGTTTATTTATATAGCACATTTCATACACAATGGTAATTCAGAGTGCTTTACATAGAAGAAATTAAAATAATCAAAACAAATAGGAATAATTAAAACAGTTTAGAATAAAAAATAAAGTACAGTAAAAACAGTCGGACGAACAGTGCTCATTCAGTAAATGCATAGCTAAACAGATGTGTTTTGAGTCTGGATTTGAATGTAACTACTGTAGGAGCACATCTGATCTCTTCTGGAAGCTGGTTCCAGCTGCGGCTGGCATAATAGCTAAAAGCAGACTCTCCTTGCTTAGAGTGAAGCCTTGGTATTTCTAGCTGATGTGATCCTAATGATCTGAGTGATCTGTTAGGTTTATATTCAGTGAGCATATCTGCAATATATTGAGGTCCTAGCCCATTAAAAGATTTATATACCAGTAATAATACTTTAAAGTCAATCCTAAATGTAACTGGGAGCCAGTGTAGAGACCTGAGGACTGGTGTGATGTGTTCATATTTTCTGGTTCTGCTCAGGATCCTGGCAGCAGCGTTCTGTATGAGCTGCAACTGTCTTATGGTCTTTTTAGGAAGGCCAGTGAGGAGTCCATTACAATAATCCACCCTGCTGGTGATGAAAGCATGCACAAGTTTCTCTAAGTCTTGATTGGAAACAAAGCATCTAATTCTTGCAATATTTTTCAGATGATAGTATGCTGATTTAGTTATTGCTTTGACATGACTACTGAAACTAAGATCTGACTCTAGAGACACACCAAGATTCCTGACTTGATTTTTAGTTGTTCGACCCCTAGCGTCAAGGTATGCATTCACCTTGAGAACTTCATCTTTGTTTCCAAACGCAATGACTTCAGTTTTGTCTTTGTTTAACTGAAGAAAGTTTTGGCACATCCAACTGTTTACTTCATCAATGCATTGGCACAGGGAGTCAATGGGGCTGTAATCGTTAGGCGATAGGGCTAAGTAGAGCTGTGTGTCGTCTGCATAGCTGTGGTAAGAGATTCGGTTCTTTCTCATTATTTGGCTCATTGGGAGCATATATAGGTTGAACAGGAGTGGTGCAAGAATTGAGATTCCAAACCAGATTGAAAATTGTCAAAGTATACATTCGAGATTAAGAATTTGTTCAGCTGATTGAAGACAACTTTTTCAATGATCTTGCCTATAAAAGGAAGATTTGAGATCGGTCTATAGTTGCTTAATATAGTCTTATCCAGATTGCTCTATTTCAGGAGGTGCTTGACAACTGCAGTTTTCAGGGAGTTTGGAAAACTACCAGAAAGAAGTGAGGCATTAACCACTTTTAGGAGATCTGCTTCTAAACTGTTTAACACACTTTTGAAGAAAGATGTGGGAAGTGCGTCAAGGGCGCAGGTTGATGTTTTAAGGTGCTGTACGGTTTCTTCCAAAATTTTGCCATCAATTTCTTCGAAAACAGACATAGTAACTACTTTCTCAGGTTGTGGTCTGATCTGTCTGACCCCAGTGCGGCTCAATGATGTGCTGATTACCTTTCTGATATTCTTAATTTTCTCAGAGAAGAAAGAAGCAAACTCACTGCACTTGCCGTCTGAGAGCATTTCACTGGGAATCTGGCTTGGGGGGTTTGTCAGTCTCTCTACAGTAGCAAAAAGAGTGCGTGTGTTTAAGTTGCTGTTTATAATATTTGAGAAGAAAGTCTGTCTAGCTTTGCCTAGTTCAATATTAAAAGCATGGATGCTGTCTTTGTAGATGTTATAATGGACTACAAGTTTTGTCTTCCGCCACATGCGCTCTGTTTTTCTGCATGTTCTTTTCATATTTTGCACAGCTGTTGAGTTTCTCCAAGGTGCTTTTTGTCTACCACTCTTCCTGACTTTCACAGGAGCAATATAATCTATTACACCTTTAACCTTTGAGTTAAAAGAATCAAGGAGAAAATCAACAGAGTCAGCAGATATGCTTGGTTTTAAAGATATGGCCTTCATAAATAGCACACTAGTGTTCTCCTTTAAGCATCTCTTCTTGACAGACACAGATCTAGCTTCAATGGCAGGGGAGATCAATATATCAAAGAAAATACAGAAATGATCAGACAGTGCTACATCCTTAATAACAATCGATGAGATGTTTAAACCCTTACTGATAAGTAAATCTAGAGTGTGTCCACGATTGTGTGTGGGTCCATGTACATGCTGAATCAGATCAAAAGTTTTTAAAACAGTTTTGATTTCTTTTGCCATATTTGTATCATTATCTATGTGAATGTTAAAATCTCCAGTAATATCAAAACAGTCAAACTCTGAGGAAATTGTTGATAACAGTTCTGTAAAGTCCTCAGCAAAGGCTGGAGAGTATTTTGGAGGCCTGTAAATAATGATAAGTAAAATGCGTGGGGCACCTTTTAACACAATACCCAGATATTCAAAAGAGGGGTAGTTACCAAATGATGTTTGCTTACATTGATAGACATCTTTAAAAAGAGCAGCTACTCCTCCACCTCTCTTACCCGCTCTGCAGACACTCATAAAAGTAAAGTTAGGAGGGGCTGTTTCATTGAGGACTGTTGAACTGCAGCTGTCTTCTAGCCAAGTTTCATTTAGAAGCATAAAATCCAGGTTGTATGTGGTTATTAAGTCATTGACTAGAAGTGATTTATTTTTAAGTGAGCGGATGTTTAATAGTGCTAACTTAACAGTCTTACTTTTTGTTACTTTTGTCTTAGTTTGGCGTGTAATAGGCACCAGATTAGATGGGTTTGCTGTACGGCTTTTGAAGGCCTTAGACTTTCTATCATGTAATCGAACAGCAATAGAGAAAGATACAGGCACACTGGGTTCCCGCTTGTTCTGTAAACATTTGAGAAAGTTACTGTTTTCATAGCGGGCACCCGGCACATATCACTGAGAGCTGGTATCAGTTGTTTTTGGTTCACCTCGAGCCGATAGAGGAGGGTGTGAGCCCTGGCGTTTTTGCAGAGGCCGAAGAGCTCTCACAAGCGGAGAGCGAGCTGGGCCTGCAGGCTTTCGTGGTTTTGGGGCCTGCCGTTTTTTGGTTGATGTCTGGGGGCTTGCAGATAGTTTGGTTCCAGCAAACACCAGTTTTTCCATTTTCTCTGAGAAGCACAGAAGATGCTGGAGATAGGGATAACGTGTCTGGTGAGAGGGTAGAGGCTGGAGGGGGCTGTTTCTCTGGTGTTATTGGAGGCTGTAAAATGCTGTCCTGGTTTTCTAACAAGTCGTCCTTGGGAGCTGAAACTTGGAGCAGTTCTAGTATGTCACAGTCTGTCTGTGGTGAGCTCTGTGGGCAGGGCTCAGCTGAGATTGTGTCCGTGAGCAGAGGCTGTTTTGGCTGAGTGGTGTTATCATTGTCCTTGTGTGATATGTCAACCGCATGTCCATCCACGTGCTGAAATGAAGTCCTGTGGTCATTCATACTGTGTCCAGGTGTGTGTGTGCCATTCAGGTTGAGTGGATTGGCACACACTGCAGAAGGATGATTGAGGGAGAAGTAGATATTGTCCTTTAGCACTCTTGAGCCAAGTTTGTTTGGGTGGTGGCCATCCTGTTGAAACAGTTGCCTCTGACTCCAGAAAAGATTGAAGTTGTCAATGAAGTTTACTCCTTTTATATTGCAGGTTTTTTGCAGCCATGTGTTGAGCCCAAGCAGCCGTGAAAACCTGTTTGTTCCTCTTGCTGGTAGTGGTCCACTGATGAATGTTTGTACTTTCAGTCTTTTAAGTGTTTCAAAAAGTTCATTGAAATCCTTCTTAAGGAGTTCTGACTGCTCTTTATGAATAACATTTTTCCCCACATGAATGATGAGTCGATTTGCAGTCTTATGTTTCGTCAGAATGTTCTCAAGTTCCCTGTTTACATCAGAAGTCGTTGCTTGTGGAAGGCAGCACGTAGTAGTGTCCCTGCTAATAATGTTTCTGATTATCGAGTCACCCACTATCAGAGTCCTGGGCTCGGCTGCGCTCTGAGCTGAGTGCCGCTGTCTGCTCGACCTTGAGTGCCAGTTAGCAGTGTTAGCTACTGGCTGGTTCAGTCTGTGTTCGATCACATTCATCACATTCAGGGATTCCTCATTCATTAATACTTCAAATCTGTTCTCAAGATGTATAGGCGGTGGTAGGAGACCAGTGTTTGCAATCCTTGTCAAAGCCGTATCTGGGGTAGAGGAGGCTACTGCGGCAATATGTGATGCTTGTGACAATCTGATGTCTCGAGTGCCTTTGGGTCTTGCTCCCTGTTTTTGCCATCGATTTGTAAGTCGATCGGCTTGTTTCTCTACACTCAGTATGGCCTGTCGAGGAGGACTAGATTCATGGGACTCACCGGCTGTGTGCTGAGGGTGTCCATGACGAAGCTCTGTTGTGTGTTCCGTCTGGTTTGGTGGTCCCACAAGTAACTTTGTTTCAAGAACTGCAATCCTTTGTAAAAGTCTCTGGCAGTTAGTGCAGCAAGTAGATTCCAGAAGAGGCATTTTCTCTTATCCTTTAGAATGTAGGCAGTTGTGTTTTCTTCCCCGGAATGTAAGCAGTGGGAGGCTGGTTGAATAAAAGAATTCTGCTTTTTTGTAGTAATCCAAGCGTTTGAGCACTGTGCTGATTAGCTGAAGTTAAAATTAGGTGATAAAAGGAGATAAAATATAAAAATATAAAAGCGATAGAGCAAAGCGCGGAGCGGTAAGCAAGAGCGTCCGAACAGTAGCAGAGCAGGAAGTCAAAGTTTAGGGACTAATCTCAAAGTCTAATCAAAGGACTAATCTCAAAGTCAAGAGCCCAGGAATGTAAGGACTTACATTTGAAGGCCAGTGAAGAGGAGGTTGATTTGTGTCTTCCCTATTATTGGGGGTGAATATGGCCTGTCACAGACTTACATATACTTATTAGTATTTACTAACCTCAAAGACAACTGGTGTCAGCTTGGGCGAACAATTGTGACATTTGACACAATGTCTGGTAGATGGCACTGTCAATGTAGGGGCAGTAAACATAGACTGAGTTGTGTCCACAGACACGTATGCATGTGGTGGATATTCCAGGAGCGTCCATCATTACTGAGAGAACATTCAAATGCAAGTCCTGAAGAAATAGAGGACCTTGAGGAGAAAGATCAAGAGAGGGATGATGAATCAAAACCATCAAATGAGACAGCATCAGCAGTGATTAAAATGACAGAGTACTTTTTGAGGTGCAAGAGAATTCCAGAAAATCTTCCACAAGACCTCATATTAACGGAAATGACGATACCTGAAAGCTTTGTGCCTAAAGAGACACAATGCCCTTACTGTCCCGGACCATGCTACCCTGACCTCAGTGAAGCAATCCTGAAGACAAAGCATGCAACCATTTATGCCTTGTTTTCTGTGCACAGAGGTATGTGTCACACTTAATGAGTTGTAGTGGAAACATATTGTTGTTGTATATAATTATATATATTTTATTTATGTATATTTTGTTCAGGTGTTGCAGTGTACATTAAGGAATGCCCTGTTTGTGGAACCCCTGTCAGATTCCAAGAACATGATTCTGGATTTCACAATTTCAATAAAGTATTCCTCACAATCCCTTTGTGCTCACTTTTGACAACAGGTCTTTCAGTAAGTAAATTTTTTTTTTTTTTTTTTTTAATCAGTGAATTTTAGGCACCATGATTTAATATTTACCTGAACATTATCTTGCCCATTGGCCTAACTACAATGTAAATTTGTCTATACCTGCAACAGAACCACATTGCTGTCGGACGTTTTTTGCGTACATTGGGGGAACACAGCCAAGTGTACATTCCTCACAACACAATAAGGAAAGCTTTTTACCACTTCTCTGCTTTGAGGAGCTACACCTACAATTACTTTTGTTACCGCTGTGGCCATCATCCTCCTATTTTGATTGCTGACGCCAACTGGAAAGTGGCCTTTGACTTACCAGGTAGGAATTCAGTGTACCCATTCATGAACAAAATGCTTAACCCTCAAAAGCTGGCAACAACAGTTTCCACTGTCTGCTCATAAAATACTTACTCTTTCTGTATAGTGCATCTCATGAGACGACCAGACCTGACAAACACCACTTCACAGGACACACAGGTGAATGTTTCATCTAGATGGGAAAACCTTGAGAAAGAGATAATTGCAACAGGACTTTGTGATGGTAAGCTGTTTAATATACTTCTTAAACATTATTATGCCTACTTGCTTTAAATTTGATTTACAATTCCTTCCCGCCCTCCCATACGTCCTTCATTCCTTCTCTCTAGTAGTGGGAAGTTCGGATCATTTTACTGACTCGGATCTTTGAGTCTCGTTCAGCAAAATGAACGAATCTTTTTTCGAGTCATTTCGTTCATTTCAGCATAATATAATTAAAATGGCATGTTAAATATCCCAACACATCTAGAACTTACGAAAATGTTGATTACATTTGTAAAAAGAATAAAAATAAATTATAGGGTAATGCAGCCAAAGCCAAATTATAAGAAACCGAAATTTTTATGAATTGATTAGTTGTTGGGTTTTAAGTTCAGGCTATTGCAGTCTGATTCTGTTAGTTCACCTCACCTCCTCATCCGAGACATTCTTTCCTTTGCAACTTCATATTTATCAGGTTTGTTCTCCTCCTCTTGTGTCTCGAGACGTTAGTTGTCGACTCGTCAGTGTCTGACTCTGATCTGTCTGCTGGGCCGTGCCGTGTGTGATACAGCAGGGCCGGAAAGAGTAATGATTAGTTCATCTTTCGAGTCTTGAGTTCGGGTTCGGCCGGGTCCGAGTCTTTCGTTCTTCCTGTCAGTCCCATAGAGGCTATGCTGTCAGTACCGGAAAGAGTAATGATTAGTTCATTTTCTTCGAGTCTTCGGGTTTGAGTCCTTCGTTCTTTTGTCACGTGACCGCTGGTATCTCGCATCAAATACAATATTAGATTCGTATTATTGACTGCGTCTGAATGTATATTGTTTTATATTTAGGAATTAAAATACAAAATATGTGAAATAAACATTATCTGAAAAATAAAAGTTCCATCTTATTATTGTCCCTGTCCGTTTCTTTAAATGTTTCTTGTGCATCTGTGGTGTGTTTTATTATATATTATACATTAATTAACTACTATTATATTATACATTAACTACGTGCTTGTTTGTAAAAAGGTTGTGAATTAGTAGGCTATTCAATACGGTGACAAGTCACGTGACAAAAGAACGAAGGACTCAAACCCGAAGACTCAGAAGATGAACTAATCATTACTCTTTCCGGTACTGACAGCATAGCCTCTATGGGACTGACAGGAAGAACGAAAGACTCGGACCCGGCCGAACCCGAACTCGAGACTCGAAAGATGAACTAATCATTATTCTTTCCGGTACTGACAGCATAGCCTCTATGGGACTGACAGGAAGAACGAAAGACTCAGACCCGTCCCGAACCCGAACTCTAGAGAGATAAACTAATCATTTCCAGCACAGATTCAGAAACCATATGTTGCGCAATGCGCATGCGCGATCAACACAAAATGAACGAATCACTCTCTGAGACAACTCGGTAGTCCCGAGTCATATTAAAGATTCGTTCAAAATGAACGAATCGTTCATGAACGACACATCACTACTTCTCTCCCTACTTACTAACTCAGTCACTAACTCACCCACTCACTCCCTCCCTTAGGGTCATGTCAAAACCAATTTTCTAGCTCTCTGACATATTCTGCCTTTACACCATGGATTGGTCAATACTCAAGAATATCTGATGTCATACCCAAGACTGAGATTTTGAAAGGCCTCTCCCAGAAAGACAGATTGTGGACAAAGAGGACAGATGAGGACCGAATTTTGTAAGTATTAGAGCTCAAAGGGGTAATACAATTTGCTGTTTGATGATGCTTATTCTATTAAAAAACTGTAAAATATTTTATTTATAGGTTTATGTATTACTTTCATTAGAGATGACACTTTGGAGTCAATTTGTCATTTTCCCAAATTACTTTTCTTTTTCTTTTTTATAACCAAATGCATGTTTTCCCCCATCACTATTAGCCTCGAAGAGAAGATCTTACAATGGCATGCAATGCTCTAGGCATTTCAGCAAGTGGATCACAGTCTGACCTCATTAATAGGCTTGAGGAACTTCTGTTGTATAAGGATATATATCCAAAAATGTTTGTAAAGCTTCACAAAGCAGGAGGTAAGATACAAATGTAGACAATTACAAGCATGGTACAGAATGGACAATACATATTTTTTATATATATATGGACATTAGGAACACAAACATTAAGGGAAGCAGGAAGAAAAAAGTATATAAATGCAGCAGTTTAATAAAATAAAATAAAACTATCATCATAAAATACAGCATACTTAACCCTCTGGGGACCAAGGTGTTTTTGGGGTCCTTGAGATGTTTTGACATGCTCTGACATTTGTGCTTTTTTCAGTTGCTTATAAACATATTAATGGCACAGGTGAAATTACACTCTATTTAGCACAAACAGGACTACCATAATGTGTGAGCAACATGTATGTACATGTTTGTATTTTTGAGAGAATATTGTTTATGCGTGGTTATTGAAAAAACTAAAAAATAAAGTTTTTGAAATAAGGACACAAAAAACATACTAAATATGAGTCCACAAGACTTTTGACTAATTTACGTTGTCGCCTAGAGTTTTTGCTTCAAAATGATCTGAAAATCATCCTTCCTAATCATTCACATAAAACAATAGATTGTTTTAAATTGTGAAAAACATTTTTTTGTTTGCCAAGGCAATATGCGGATGGGCGGAATGGCCCAACCCCTATCATGAATAATTAAGTGGTTCTCAGACAGTGACCCTGCATAATAATGAGCCTTTCATTCAGGGGTGTCACACAAGAAAGAATGTAAGGACAATATATATATATATATATATATTGTCATTGCATTCTTTCTTGTATATATATATAGCCTACATGTATGTATATATATATATATATATATATATATATATATATATATATACACACACACACACACACACACACACACACATATATATATATATATATATATATATATATATATATATACAAACAATCAAAATATAAATGAAAGCCAGAAGCACATTTTTAGTCATACCTGGAAACAAATCCTGGTCAAATGCTATATGGGCCAGTCTACAGAATTGGTTCAAAGTTACAGTTGGAAACATCTTGAAAAGAAAATAGTCTTTTCCCATAAATGTCTTATAAAGTATTATTTTTTAAAGTAGACCAATACAATAAAAATAAACCAGTCGCATTTCAAAGTCGCTCGCGAAATGACCGCCAGGTGGCGCAAAGGGACATTTATCAAAACGTAAGTGGGGCTAATGTCAATTAACAGTAAGGATGAAATTCTACAAGTTATGGTAATTTACAAATAAGCCTACAACAAACATTTATTTTTAAACAAATATTGTTAAATATGCAACATGCACGTTTAAACAACAAACAATACAATCTGAACCAGCGCTTCCTGTATTGAGACATGCAGCGCGTTTCAGTTACGATCCTGGTTCCAGTGGCCTTAATACATTCACGGCTTTTTAAAATGTCACAAAGCGTTTTGAGATGGTTTTGAATGAAATATTGAAGTTTATAATTAGGGTATTTTGGCACACCACGCCGAGTGGCTATGCATTATTCTAAAATATGGCTTTATTCTGGCATGTTGAATTAGAGTTTGACAAACGCGGCGGCGCGTTCATTTGGATTTATTTTTCTCATAACAGCTAAAAGAACTTACTGCGTAATTGTTGGTCATACAGATAAGATATCATCTTTTAAAACTGTAAAAGGTCTACTTTTATTCATGTAGGCTAAAGTAGGCCTACAATCACAGGCTAACGACAAAACGTTTTCTCGCTCATTTGAGAAACAAACGTTTGGGCAATTCTCAGTGAGAAAATTCATAGCCGAGCGGTAGAACTTACGATTCGATCATCAAGATGACACGGGATCAAATCCTGATCAAACATGGTCTATTGTAAATTTTATATTTATTAATGCAGAGAGATTTGTCTAGCTCTAAAACTCTGTTACACCATACAGTTTTTTGCTTATATTTATAAAATAAAATTACCATGCATTTCCATTTTACACTAAGGAACAATAGTATCCAACAGAACGACGTTGCATCTGTACCAATCGTACGAGGCTACCAATCGTAATTTTTAAAGCAGTTCTGTAAAAAAAGTAATTTTATATATATAGCCTATATATATATATTTTTTTTTTTATTAGGCCTATTATTATTATTATTTTGATTCCCTACAACCTAGAGTTTTTAAAAACATGGTTTTAAGTAAAGTGTGATTTGCCAGGGGGGACGGGGATTTCCTTCTGGTCTAAACATCCCTGCTTCTGCTGAATTATTTGAATCCCCACACCCTCCCTCCACAGTAATCAATGCTATAGGCTACTTCACCAATAGACCATATCAAATATAAAATAGAGATATGCAACAAGCACGTTGAAACAACGACAAACAATAAAATCAAAACCAGCGTTTCAGTTGTTCATTAGTTCAAGTGGCCTTAATGCATGCACGGCTTTTCAAAATTTCACAAAGCGTTTTGAGATTATTTTGAATGAAATATTGAAGTTTATAATTAAGTGTTTTGGCAGACCACGCCGAGTGGCCCTATGCATTTTTCTAAAGTCGGGTTTTATTCGAACTTTTGCTAACGACAAAAGTTTATCTGTCGTCTCTGTCTCCAGGAACTGCGCGTCACAAAAATGAACCGAAAGCCACTTCAGCTCAGTCACTATAAGAAATCGGCTCTGTCTAAAGCCTTTAAATGTCTAAATATTCAGGCTAATAAATGTTATCTGATTATGTAATCCATATGAAAACGAGAGGTACAGAGGATGTACTCAAACATGTAGCCTGTAAGCGCTTCCCAATGAGAAAATGACAAGGGTGAAAATCTCGCTCTAATTAAATGTAGCAGGCTAAATCGCCCTGAATTAAAATGTAAAAACAGATCAAATAATGTATTTGTCGAAATGTTGCGATATTGTTTCATTTAAGTTCATAATTATTCTATACATGTTATTTAATTTAGCAGCATTACCACGAAGCACCGTGTTTCGATATTTATTTGAATAATACAAAAAATAAAAACTTAATTCACAAATTGCATGCCTGGTTGTAAGGATCCAAAGATCCCTGTAGACTTTAATATTGAGTTGAACATTTTGTTCATGACAACAAATTAACATGCGTTTTTTCAGATTATATTTAGTTTTGCTTGGAAAAAGCTGGCCCAAACCAGTTTTATTTCATCAATTATTGAAATAATGAAATATTTAGTAATAAACTTTTATGACAGAAATATCACTAGGCTACATGTAACTTAAATCATTTAATTCCTTCATTATCAACACTGTCTAGAATAGCGATTTAAGTGTGAATTGCGACTTCTCTTTGTGTTAAATCAGCCTCAGACTCCGATAGCCGGTGGGGGGTTGGAGGGACAGTTCAGTGTATCGTGCGCGCAGGACAATAGGCCTAGGTGTTAATGTTCCTCTTTCATATGGAGAGCGAGGGAGACTAAATAAACTTGTTAAAAAAGAGATTCAGCGCGAGAGAGGCAAAGAAAAACGCATGTTTTAATTTAATTATGTTGCTTTGGACAATTTTCGTTTTGTAGGCCTACTGTTTTAATTGTTTAATATAGCTGTCATTTCTTTGGCAATACAAATTTAAAATGTCGCAAGAATAAGATTAGCCTATAGTGTTTCTTATTTTGCATCGCAAAAGAAATAAACTCTAAAGCCAATGCAACCCTGTTTTAAATAATAAAAAAAACTGTCCCGACACTTTATTTAAACCTTGAAATGTTCGAACTTGGTTTCAAACTTAAGTAATTTTAGTGTTCTTTTACATTACACAATAATTTAGCAGACTAAAGACGAGCTTCTTCATTTTCATTTTCTGATGCAATCGGCTGACAATCTTCCTTCATCAGTTTTTGTCGTTTGTGCAGCGGCTGCGGTTCTACAGGAATGTAGCAAATTTATGTTATGATAATTAAACAAAACTCTTGACTTTAAATAAGTAAACAGTTATAAACAGTTAGCTATTTAAGCATCAAGAAGGTAAAATATAAACGCTGTTGGCCAACATCGGTTAACAAGATGTATGCTACATTGAGATTCAATCTCAAGTCGTTTGAAGCTCCTCGAAGCTCGTGTTGTTGCGTTAACCACTGAGCTATCGTCTGTACGTCTGTAAATGTTTTTATTGCAATGTTTTATTTTTTCATTATTTATTCAATTTCATTTCAGTAGCCTAATTTCAGTATTGTGATTATGAATTATTTTAACTACGTTTCACTTGTTGAATTCATCTGCTACCAGCTTTTAATCGCTCTGAATGAGCCGCGGTGCGGCGGCAGATTACGCATTAGAAAGAATAAACGAACACTTTTCAGAGTCTATGATTGTAGCGCCTCTTAGCGGTAAAAGGCAGAAAATACACCACACATTTTACCGCCGCGGTGGAACGGCTGATGTGGGCATTGTCATGGCTTGCCTCAACATTTGCGTTTGAATAGCGCTCGTCCTCCGTGGGCGTGTCAGATTAACGCGTAATGAAGTGTAATGAGCTGGGGGAAAAAAATTCTGACAGCACTCTCTTTTCATACAGATTACATAAACTGAGAATATTTGTTTTTTATATAAATTACTTCATTGAAAAGAAGAGAATTCAAGCTTCATAAAGAAAAATCTCTCGTGCCTGTATGACAAGTATTTGCAGAGTTAGAGTTAATTTTTCGGACGTGTTTCAGAATGGACTTCACTGACAGAGAGAAGGCAAAACTTGCATCATGTTTATTTTTCTTTATTTGACAAAAAGCACAAAACTTTGTTTTTATTGTGAGTATACAGAAAAATAATAGACAATTAACAGGATCGATTGATGTATAACACTTATATGTACGATCAAAATCAACAGAGTATTTTAAGTCTATTTTTCTGCTATGTGAAAAAAAAAACGGCAAAACGCGCCGGCGCGTTTCTGGTCCCCAGAGGGTTAAAGACCCACAGAAGACAAAAGCACTCCATCTATCATAACTATTTTGCCCTGATTGATAATGAATCAAAGACATTATTGACTGCCAGTTAATGAAAAAAATTAAAAAATAAATTTATATTTTACATTTGACTGCCAAACTACATGAAATTAGCAATTGTTCTGCATTTTCCCCATTTTTTCCCCACAGGAGGGGTACTGCATCTTGGGTGCACCCATGGTGTGGTTTACTATCAGTCACCCCTGTGGTGGCAGGAATTTGCTTGAGACCATGGAGATGGTCTCCTGAGTTTTAAATGTCCACCCACGGTCTTCATCTCAGGTATCGGTGGACATGTTGCCAGACATGTGAATAATAGGACTCAGCAAAAGTTTTTTCAGCCACATGATGGCAGGCTATGTGCTCCAACATCAGAAAACATTTCTGCTGCATTGGAAAAAAAACTTACTGTGCAGAAAGAATGGGTGAATACCCTTCGAAGCTCTATGGGGCCAAATATACACGAAGACCAAACAAGTGACAGATTCACCTGCCCTCACCCTCTGACTGGAACTCGTGAACGGTACTCCCTCTATGAAAAACCAAAAAAGGCCTGAAGAGAGACTGAGAAGCATAAAACTTTTGCCAGATCTTGCCTGTATTGTTAATTCGTCTTCAGCAGAGCAAATTAACAAAGATCTGTCAACCAGCAGGTATTTCCTCTGCCAACTGAAGGACATTCATTACATGTTCGCCTTGCGGCTGTGTTTCCATCTGCACAATCAGAGGATCAATAATAACTTCTTGCAGGACATTCAAAAAATGTCCCAAAAAGATGTGCACCTAGGGCTACATGGACACCTATTAATAGGTGTGGATGAGGAAACAGACAAAGGTAATATAGTTCATGAAATAAAAGTTCATGTACTATAAATTTTATTAACATACACTTTTCATTGTATCTCAATACAATGTCATATCATTGAAGAGATGTACCAAAGAACATCTGCAAAGTCATTAACTGACCCGCAAGCTGTACCAGACAAAGTTGAGGAAGATATGGAGAGTTTCACTGTGTCATTGTTTCCTATAAGTGAACAAAATAAGGTACAGACTGGCTTTTTGTATGTTAAACTTCCAAGGAATAGTTTACAGTAACAAACTACACCTGTAGTATTTTCTGCTTCATTTACATGCAATGAATGGGTTCTGTTTTTGAACTACAGGACAAGCTGAAACAACTTTACATTTCCTGGAGGAGGGAGAGACAAATAATTCACAGATTTTCAGCATATGCAACACTGTATATTGCAGACTTAAGAAGTGTTTGCCCCTCTTCTCTTTTAGAGGAAGACCCAAACAAGAACATGCCTTGGTTAAATGATAATGTAAGTGTGCTTACAATGTTCTTATGTTTGCTTTACAATTATTTATTAGGAACTCAGTACATGACACTGCACACAGTTCATGTAATATAACTACACTCACATTCACAATGTACTCATCTAATTTGTTTGTATATTAAAGTCTGTCATTTATTTAAAGGCAGTGAACTGTCGTCTTGCACAAATTGCAGCAGAAACTCAGAATGTAATTAACTGACTATTCAATGGTCTTTGCAGATATGCAATTATCTCATGAGATTTGTCATATTGCTTTGTGAATGTTAAAAACATAGTATAATTAATTTCAGTTCAATTCATGCGCAGGTTGTTGCCTTATACACAGAGGTGTACATTTTGTTGTACAGAGAGTGGACAAAAAACAAAGCCATTTCAAGGTCACATGTGGAAGATCTTGAGGTATATACTTTTTAGTAATTGTATTACAATTGAGGGTTTTCACATATATATCATATATATAATGTGTGTGTGTGTGTGTGTGTGTGTGTGTGTGTGTGTGTGTGTGTGTGTGTGTGTGTGTGTATTTCCACTGTAGAATGCTAAAAAAATCCTGCTCCCAAGAATCGTTGGTGGTAATACACCAGATATTTCTCCTTAAGGCTGAAAAAGTGGACTTGCATACAAAATACCCTTTGTCTTGAAGACCACCATTTGCGAACTAAACCCTCACGTGGTAAACACCACGGATGCGACAAATGCTGACCATAAGGATACACACACACACACACACATAAGGACTTTCCTCCAATTCTCCAATACCAATAAAACTCATCCCAGAAAAATTCTTGACTGACCCAGAATCAAAATCATGTAACATAACAATTATATATTGTGTTTACAACCCCTGTATGTGTCTATTCTGCTTAGATCACATCTAAGTCATGTAATTGTTTTAAATATTAGAGATACTGGAATGAAAGTGTCGTGTTTCCTATCATTATGCTCGTATGTGTTTAATTCAAAAGATGGCTCGATTGAAATCTGTGTAAAAATGTTTGTGTTCTTAAAATGGAAATTATGTCTAAACTGAATCCTCTGTTTCGAGCTGATGAGTAAGCAGACCACAGAGAACACATGATTCGCGATGAAAGAAGGGGGGGGGATACTATAAATAAGATAAGATACTATAAATAAGATAAGATACTATAGATACTATAAATAACCATATAGTATCTTATTGTCCAAATTCCAAATTCCTCCAGGAGGCGGGACAAACATTTGGAGTTAAAAACTTAAACCCGGACACAGAATCTCTCTCTGGTGATGCTCTTGTGATGCGCTCTTGCCCTGTGCTCTGGCCCTCTTGTGCTCTCTTGCCCTCTGCTCTCTTGTGATGCTCTTATGCTCTCTTTCGGCAGAACAAGCCGGGTGGAGCCGACGATGGTTATAGTAACTATGTAGACGCAGAGACAAATGACCCAAATCAAGATATGGGTTAAAACAGATTTAATTCAAGCCATCTCGTCACACTTTTCTTTCTTTTCTTAGTTTGTTTCTTTTCCGTTAAAAGTCTCGGTGCTAAGTTAAGTTTTGCTGCAAAGTTTCGTTTAAAACGTTTCGACTGCAACACGCTTCCAACTTCAAAGACTTTCATCCATCCGCCAACACACCACGTGACTGGCTGCCCTATCTATCAAGATCTATCAAGCACGAGGAGACCGCCAGCCAAACCACGGACCCGGGAACCCCCTTCACGACAAAAGGGAACCCCAAAGCAAGAACAAGCAAGTACCTCCAGACTTTTAGCTGAAACTGCAGGTGCATTTTAATATCAAATTGAATTACCCACCTAAGAAACGATACAAGGGTGAAATTAATTATTGATGGTTCGTTCAGGTCATGTCTTTTAAGTGCATATAGAAACTTGGGATCTCACCATCTAACTCCTAAAACTCATTCTTCCTCACTCTCTGTCTTTCTTCAACTTGTATGAACGCGTGTGCGTGTGTTTGTGTTATATTAGTTTTATGTGTGTTAGTAATAGGCTTATAATCAATAAAGTATTATTTGTATTTGAAAAGAGAAGCATTACTTGTGTTATGTGCTTACAGATTTATTGTCTTGAACTTCGATCTAAGTTACCTATGCTTTGACCCTTGATTTATTTCTTAATTTAGCTGTAAGCTGGGAATTAGTCTTTCTTGGCCAAGAAGATATTATATTTCCTAGAATTAATAATTGTTTATGCTTTCCGTTCATTGGATGAACTGATAAACTGATCATACTATTGATCATACTATTGATTTTGCTACAGTAAATTCTGAAAATAATTCAATTATTAATTATTGATCATAATCCGTTATGAATAATAATTAATTATATTTATACGTGCGTATAATCGCTACAAAACTCATATGTAATACTGGACAGGACTTTCCGACTGCTATTGGAGAAAGAGAGGAAGGTGAAATAGAGACCAACACCTGCATGGCCCAGGACATAAAAGCATGTGTTTATCAAAACACGGGAAATAAGTAAGTAGTATACCACACAAATTGCGAGTTTTAGTGTAAATGAATATTGCTGCTTTGACTTTACAAGAATGTATATGTTTTTAGAACCCTGCATCCACACATCAAACGGATGAAGTGGGTTCAGTGTGATCTGTGCAACAAATGGTTACACACTGATTGTGCTGGCATAGACCCTACAACAATTCGCAAAGACACGCCCTTCAGCTGTGGATGTGATCAACAACCATATTCTTTTCAAAGGTAAGCAACAGAACCATAATATAAAACAAAAACTCACTGAACTGCTTTTAATGCGTAAGTCTATTTTACAGCACCCTCACAGCTTTGAAACAGGGACTTTTGGTTGATACAGTTGTGGAGGATGAAGAAATTGTGGTAATTGTTTTAGAAATTTTAAATAAAATAGCACATAAACATGTTTGTATGAAACATGTAATAATTAAATTTAGGATCAACATATGTAGCACATTGATCATTTATATTGTGCTGTAAAAAAACTTTTTTTTTTGTAGAAACTTCATCATGACCTCACATCTGGTGCTGTTAGATCACACACAATGTTTTTACATAAACATTCCAGTTATGCACCCAAACTGAAAAACCAATGTAACCTACGGATCTCCGTTTTTGATCAAGAACAGGTAAAATCATTTTTATTTGGAATAAAAATAAGTTTAAAATTACCTTGGTTCTTGCAACATGAGGTGACATCTTCTTACCACAATTACTGATTTTTATAGATTCATACTGTTACAGATAATCAATATCTTGACATTCATTATAATCTGAAACTATTGGAATGTAATGAAATTATTCTTAGATGCTGATTTTTTTAAACACTGATAAGTGAAATATCCGCATTGTTGTTTGTCATAGACTGAAGGAATCATTGACAAGGTGTACAGTGTTTTGGCATTGGAAAAAACAGATTTATCTAGCCCTTCGTATGCTATGGAAGTCATGACACCTGAGGTAAATCACGTTTTGTGAAGAACACAATAATAATTCAAGCGCTAATGATAGATATTTCAATTATAGTGTGTGAATTATGCAGTTACCAATTCTACATTTAATGCACAAATTCTAATGTGTGATAAGATTTTAATGACTGTTTTTTTCCTTGATTATAGATAACCATTCTGATTCTCAGAAAGACAGAGGGGATCCACAGATTCCAAGCGGAAATGGCCTTTGCAACTTGTAACAGCTTTTAGAGCTGGATAAAAAACAGGGAGAAGTAGAGTTGAGGTATGTTTGGTTAGAGAGAAGCATGGCCTCTTTCTGCTAACTATGTGTAGAGTCCGGGTTGAGAAACTATGGTTTTGAGCTCATCCAAGTAAGTGTTGTTCATTTTGTGTAGTAATCATTGGTTTTGCTGGTTTTCGTCATCTCATCTAATATGTATGTTGTTGTTTAGAAGGACTTCTTGGCTATACCACGTCCACAGAGTTATCTTTCTTATGTTACGAGATTGAGACGTTGTCCCTTCCATGCTGTACTGGGTCTAATGAGGATACTCTTTGATTATGCCAATATCATCATTGGATATATTGGATCAATGCAGATCTGGGATGTTTGAGTGCAAGGACACCATTATTGCAACGTACCCTAAGCTAAAACATGGATTTAATGAAGCGTAGAGCTTAAATTGAACTACTGGACTTTTTGCTCATTTCTTGTTTGACCAACCCCACTCCTGGTACTAAACCAGAAAACACGTATACCTTCAATTGTTGACTCACTAGTTGTATATTGTGGTGTGACTTATCTGATATAAATATGTTTGCATTTACCTCTGTGTTTGGACTTGGTTTGAGAGTTTCTGAATCTGGTTAAAAGTAATTAGTCAATGAAGTCCTCCCTTATAAATGTATTTGTGATTCAACCTTCTGAGAGTTCTCAGTTGCAGGGCTGCCAACTCTCACGCATTCACCGTGAGACTCACGCAATTGAGCCAATTCTCACGCTCTCACGCCACACCCCCGATTTCTCACGCTGAAGTGTCAACCCGGTCGGTCAAATGCCTGAAAGATAAGTTTATCTATAGATCTACCAGTTGAGCCATTCGTGATCGACTAGTTTTACCGCAAATTAGTTAAAATATCCTGTAATCTATAGCGAGCGAGCGTGCATGCGAGACAGATGTGTTGAGCTCTTAACGGCGCGCTCCTAACCGCGCACGCGCACGACGACACAGAGGTGATTAAGCGAGCTTGCGTGTCTTTCGCAACACAACCCAGTGGACAGTTACACTGTATTGAGACAGTTGAGAAATAATAATATTTTTACAGTTTTCAACAATAATTGTCATTGTTGAACCCTTGCTCTTATTATGTTTTGTCATTATTTTAGCAAATAATTTATTTTATATGTTTTGAGACAGTTTGTTTTAAGAAGTTTTAAAGAGTTAGTAAAAGAGTAAAGTAAAAGTTAAAACTTTTTTATTTAAGTAGGCATCTATTTTTTATTAAGTAGGCCTATTTATTTTGTATTAATACATAACCTTACTGTATTCATTCATAATGTATCATTATTGCATGACATTTGTGTCAATAATCGTCAAGCACAGGGGACTTCGCGTAGTGGGAGGGGGCCCCCAAATCAAATTCTGCTTAGGGCCCCCAAAAGGCTCGGACCGGCTCTGGAGACCAGACAGACTGTGTGAGTTTTTTGTGACAATTGTGAGGGAAATACACTATTTATTCCCATAAACTGTGTAGTCAGCCGTTCTCCCTCCCATCTGCACCGTGTGAATTGTGAACGCAGGCAGGTCAGTGAGTTACAGGGCGCTCCTTGTCTCCATCTAGTTTAGGCTGGTAATAGGCCTGTTATATAGTTTATATAGAATTAAGTTAGCAATAGCAGAGTTGTTTGTTTTGCAGCACTGAGCAGTTATTTTACATAACTTTATCATAAAAACAGTACAAAAGCATTTCCAGATGACAAATATGGACATGCCTAGTAGTTAATGTTAATTATTGTTTTCTAAGAACAGAATGTCAATTAAAATGTTAAATGTAAAATTAAATGTAATGTAAATCTCCCAAGAAATTCTGTACAGATACCAAATACTTTGACAATCAATATATACTTAATACACTTCTGCTAATGCAAGGATTTTGTGTTTGTATTTTTCCCCACACCAAGCCACGCCCCTCAATAAGCCCCTCCCCCATAACCCAAGCCCCGCCCCCCAAAATCTCACTCTAAGCTGAACTCAAAAGTTGGCAGCCCTGCAGTTGGACGGTTACAAACTGCACACTGTGTGTGTGTTGAATAATAGTTTAAGTGCGACAAGCAATGGGCTATATAGATTCTTGTTTTTTATTTGTGAATAGTTTTTTTTTCTTGGGTTTTATTTGTAAATAGTCTTTGTAAATTTGAAAATAGTGATACAGTCTGTGCTAAGTGATTTTACCGTTAAAGTTGGCATTCTTTTATTGAAATATTAAAAAGCTTTCTTTTATTGAATTATTTAAAAGCATCTCTGTATTTTGTCCTGGTGTCAGAAAATGGTCAAAGCGACAAAGATTCATGTTATTGGGATTAATTCACGTTTTTATAGTCTACTCTGCATCTACATTATTACACAACTTTTTCACAAGGATTAAAATCGTCACAACTAAAGCAGTATCCGCAAATTAGATTTATTTCCTTAGAATGAGAGGCAGGCAACAGTAACTACAGTAAGCAACCAGTCATGAGCAGGGCCATTTGACTGGTTATATTGGGATACAGTCCCCAAAACATCAATCATACTAAAGAATAGATGCGTGACATTATATTCATAATAAGAAAACAATTTATTTCCTTGCAGCGAGAGTGTCAGGCTACGCGTTATACTCGCACTATGAGCCGCGACTGACTGGATGAGCGTCGAGCAAGCGTCTGTAAGCTGCCAGTCGGATCACGGCCATTTGACTGGTTATATTGGGATAACAGTCCCCGAAACATCAATCATACTAAAGAACATAATCATAACAGCTTACTAATAAATGAGCTAGAAAGGGAGGAACACAAAAACTGTCAAAAATCAATGGTTTCTGAAACTTGCCAAAGGCAGACTGCCAGACAACTAGCCAGCCACTGACAGGTCACGTGACATGCCAGTGGCGGCTCCTGCCAGCCAGCTGAAGATTGAACCCCCACTCCACATAAGCCAGTCCTCTGCCTCTGGTGCTCAGGCCCTGCCAACACACAAAAAGATGTACATCAAATAAATAAATAGTCACTTTGGGCTGGATTTGAGTATAAAGTTCACTCGACAGAAAAACAAAATTCTCCCTACTGTCTCCAGTGTTCGTGCAACAGCAATAACAAAGTAACAAGCTCGGACAGCGGAAGACTGAAGCACGCTCTCCAACATAAGACAGCGTCTTTAGAAAGAACGCATTTCTCATAACCGAATACACTTTATACCAAAAAACAACTAGCAGTATATTCTCCTTACCGGCTCGGGTGCTCGCATCCAGTTTCCAGGAAGCGGTGACAGAAGCACGTTAACGACGCAGCAGTTCACAGAGTGACGCCTAACAGGCAGCACAGATGTTACGGTGTTACGAACCGTTGTGGGTCTAGGGCTGGTACCGCAACATTTATATATTGAGTGTACTGCTGGAAGTGGTGTATGGTGGAAAAACACATGTCAGACTCATTTTGAAGAGAAAATAACTGGAATTTATTTCCATAAGCCTAAGCCACTGAATCCAGTCAAATAACAGTGTGCTATATACAATAAATGATAGGGTGAATAGACAAACAATAAATAGGAAAATAACAAAAGTGGCACCAAAAGAAAGAACGCAAGATAAAAAAACACTCCTTAATCTAAACTAATCTAACCAAAGTAAAATGTAGAAAATAAACCGAAATCTTCGGTGCATCCGGCACCCTAACTAAATTATCTAATAAAACAGAAATACAAGGAGGGGCGCTCACTTCTTACCTGGTGTGTCTAACAATTCTCTGCTACGGGTGCAATGTATATCGCGATATACTTGCCTATGTTCTTTCCCCAGAGAAGCAAACAAAAGGTTGACAACACAAATGAATCTCACCCATCCAAAAGGAAAACATGTCAAGTACTAAGCACATAGCACAACACTCATTCAGGCAAAAGCATACACAAACTCATTCCGCTACTAACGTTACTGATCCACTTTTGCAACACAACTGAAGCGTGGTGTCGTGACGCCTCCCCACATTTGTACATTGATGGGCGTTCCTCGTGTTTACCGCTATGGGCGTGGTTTTGAGCCAGCGGCCAGTCTAGAACAGAGGACTTGCGAGAGACTTCCCCCCGTCTCCATATGCTCTACTTCTATTGGATAGACGCTTCGCGTTTGACGGATTCATTTGCATAAAGCTGGGCATCGGCCAGCTTTTGGACTCGCAGCATTTTTTCAAATGAAGCGCTGCCTTCCCGCGATGCTTTGCGGGCGCGTTAAAGTCGCGTGACGTCACCCATAGGAATAAAGTGGAGTGCTGCGCGGCTGAAGTGTCGCACGGACAAGTGGGTCAGTACCGTAAGAGCTCAGATTGCTACTAAGATCACAAATCACTAGTGATGTGACGTTCGGCACCGAGGCTTCGAAGCTTGTATCAAAAAAACGAAACATCTCACATGAACCAATGTACCGGAGCTTGATTCGTTTTGCCATAACCATGTGATCAGTGACGTCCGAAGCTTCGTTTCGACACACAACCACGTGACTGCTTCATATTCTGATTCAAAAATAGTGCAAACCCCTTGCGCAGGTTTCGAGTGTCATGCGCTTCGGTAGTGAAAAGAGGCCGTTCGGAAGTCTGGCAGCATTTTCATGTCGTATCAAGTCCCATGTGAGAGAATATTCTCAAAGGCAGGGGAAGTAGTAAATAAAAAAAGAAATAGACTTAGCCCTCACACTGTTGAACAAGTCCTGTTCCTTAGTAGAAAATCTTTAATTTCTTCAATTACACAACTCCCCAGTTCACAAGCACTTTCACTACCCAGCCTTTCACCATTCCACAATAGCTTTCTTTTATTTTGATTATACAGTATGCCTAAATGAGCCTTGCCTATGAACTCATATGTTTAGGACTACGGCTAAAGTTTTAAGGCTATTATGTTCAACAAAGCAGAGTTAATTTGTCCCATGTATTAATTCTTTCATAAATTAATTCATAGATTCATTTGTAAACACCAACACTAACACTGATGATTTTTATTGCTTTG